CGTCAACGGCGTCGACACGGTCAACTCCGCCGACTCGCGGCAGACACGAGGCGGAGTTGAGGGCGACACGGTGAAACCAAAATTTGAAACCCAAACCCGAAACCCAATTTCAAACTTAAACCCAAACCCTAACCCTAGTCGTCAGAAAACTTACCCGATTTCTCGTCGAAAGGGCTCTTGTAAAGTGAAGAGGCGCCGCCAGCTCTCAGTCGTCATCGTCGATCATCCCCGTCATCGGTTCGTCGTCGTCGATCATCTCCAAGACACGGTCAGTCTCTCCGCTCTCTCTCTCTCAGATTGCTCTCTCTCTCCCGATCGCGCTCTCTCTCCCCGATCGCTCTCTCTCTCTCTCTCTCTCCGATCGATCTCTCTCTTTTATCGTTCTCTCTGATTCTCTCTCTCTCTCTCTCTCTTATTGTTCTCTTTGATTCTCTCTCTCATTCTCTCATTCTCTCTTTTAGCTCTCGATCCGATCCGGTTCTCTCTCTCTCTCTTTACTGTTATTGTTTTTAATTTTAATTCTCTGTTATTATTTGCGTTTTTACTGTATAAAAATATGAGAATGACATAAAAATGTTAGAATAATATATAAATTAGAACTAGGATTCATACCGTTACTGTTACTCTGTTATTATTTTCATTTTTACTGTATAAAAATATGAGAACTAGGATTCATATTGTTACTGTTAATTAATTAGTTAATTAATTAGGGTTTTGTTTTTTAATTTACTGTTAATTATGATTTTTGTTACTGTTTTTAATTTTTCTTCTCTGTTATTATTTTCATTTTTACTGTATAAAAATATGAGAACTAGGATTCATATTGTTACTGTTAATTAATTAGTTAATTAATTAGGGTTTTGTTTTTTAATTTACTGTTAATTATGATTTTAGTTACTGTTTTACTATTATTATTTTTTTAATTTATTGTTATTGTTTGTATTTTACAGAAATGGAACAAGACGGGAGTTCTAGTAGTACTGGAGTACAAGATGACAAATGTCCACTTTGAAAAAAAAGAAAAGAGGGGGAACGGCAGGAGGAAATTAGAGATGGAGATGTAATTATTGCAGAGAGGATTTTACCGGTTCACACTTAAGAGTTAAAAATCACCTCTTGAGGATAAACGGTACTGGAATTAAGATGTGTTCCAAGTCAACACCCGAAAACCTAAGGGAGTTTCAAAGGACGTTGGATCAAGCGGAGGCGAGGTTGAGGGCTTCTAAGCCTAAGATGTAAGTTTTGCCTATATCTTCGACTGTAAGTACGATCGGTATAGGTGCAAGTGCAAGCATGCCGATTGGTGCAGGTGAATCTAAGAGGAGGAGGGGGTCTATACCGTGAAACAAGCATTCAATATAGGAGCAAGGGAGGAATTGGATGCATTGATTGGTAGGATGTTCTACACCGGGGATTGTCCTTCAACTTGACAAGGAATCCATATTATGCCAAGGTGCATATGCCGCAAGCAATCCAATCTCTGGCTACAATCCTCCCAATTACAATTCCGTAAGGACCACTATCTTACAACGTGAGAAAACTCACGTAGAGAGGTTGATGGAGCCCATCAGGGGCACATGGCAACAGAAGGGGGTCTCCATTTGTAGTGATGGGTGGGCGGATGCACAAAGGAGGCCCATCATCAATTTTATGACGGTATGTGAGGGTAAGTCAATGTTCTTGAATGTCGTGAATGTCGAGGGAGAAGTCAAGAATAAGTATTTTATCCAAGCACAGCTAGAAAAGTGCATCACAGAGGTGAGACCGAAAAATATCATCCAAATTATAACCGATAATGCTTCGACATGCAAGGCCGCGGGAGGGCTTGTGGAGGGCACCCGACCTCACATATTTTGGACTCCTTGTGTAGTCCATACACTCAATCTTGCTATCAAGAATATTTGTGCGGCTAAGAACACGGAAGCAAATGCCATGGCTTATGCACAATTACATTGGATTACAGAGATCTCTGATGATACATTGTTTATGAAGAATTTTATCATGAATCATTCTATGCGGCTTTCCACGTTTAATGATTATTCCAAGATGAAGCTCCTATCGATTGCCGACACAAGATTTGACTCGTGGATTATTATGTTGAAGAGGTTTAAGGTCGTCAATAGAGGCCTCCAAGACATGGTCCTTAATGATCGATGGAGCTTGTATAGAGAAGATGATGTGGGAAAAGCTCAATTTGTGAAAGAGAAAGTCCTCGATGATTTGTTGTGGGACAAGATAGATTTTATTCTTGACTTCACTGGCCCAATCTATGAAATGATAAGGGTCACCGACACCGATACACCATGTCTTCATTTGGTGTATGATATGTGGAATACAATGATTAAGAAGGTGAAGCAAGCTATTTATAAGCATGAGGATAAAAGGGATAACGAGGAATCTCCTTTTTATAAGGTGGTTCACAAGATCTTGGTGGATCGATGGAACAATAACAACACCCCGCTTCAATGCTTGGCACACTCTTTAGTTCCAATGTAATATTTCACATTTCACTCTTTAATGCGAATATTTCTATTACTTAATACCTTTTGGGCTAATTCATGTTATTAACGAATATAGGTACTATCATTCCACATGGCTCAATGAGAACGTCAATCGGCAAGCTCCAAATCAAGATCTTGAGATCTCTACGGAAAGAGCAAAGTGCTTAAGAAGATACTATCCTAACCCCGATGAACGACGGGCGGTGAACTTGAAATATGCTAAGTTTGTAGGGGGCTTTGGAGGCTTTTAGTGATCCGGATTCTCTTTCCGATAGAGCATGTATGGATCCTAAATCATGGTGGCTTCTTTATGGTGCAAGTACTCTAAATTTGCAATCATTGGCCATAAAGCTTCTAGGCCAACCTTGTTCCTCTTCTTGTTGTGAATGGAATTGGAGAATGTATGGTTTCATTCACTCCTTAAAGAGGAACAAGCTAACCCCAGCACGTGCGAAGGATCTTGTTTATGTTCGCACCAACCTTTGCTTACTTTCTCGAAGTTCGGAAGAGTATATGAAAGGGGAATCAAGAATGTGGGATGTTGGTGGAGATGCCTTTGAATCATTTCAAGGTGCCGGTATTTTAGATGTTGTCGCCCTTTCTCTTGACGAGCCCACGATGGCGGCCGTTGTGTTTGAGGAGGATGAAGGAATTGAAACCATAGAATGATCTTTTGATGTTTTAACTTGAGAACTTTATTTTTAAGATACATTTTTTGTTGTAATTTTTGCAATATTAGTAACTTGGTATTTTGTAGCCATAGAACTAGTTGCAACTTGAACTTTATTCTCTTGTATTTTGATATGCTCAAGATGAAAGTAATGAAAATTAAAATTTGGTATTATCTTCAAATCAGTTACATAACTTACATTTGTCATTGATTATACAAGTCAATGTTACATAATAATATAACATAAAAAATTGATCTATTTTTCTATATGTTCATCTTCTCTTTTTTGTCTTCTTTAACATTATTGTCTTTAATTTTCCAAGAGATCATTGCCATCCCGACGTCTTAATTCACACCTGCAACACACACTTTTCTTTAGTTTATTATTTATAACCTCCACTTTACATAACAAAAAATATGAAAATATAATATGAATTTAATTCAATATTAATCTATATATAATAATAATATTAAAAAAATCTAATCGTGTCGCCGTGTCCTATTTTTTTGAGTTTTGCCGTGTCCGTGTCCGTGTCGTCTCCGTGTCGCCATGTCCGTGTCCGTACTTCATAGCTCGTTAGCACTGAACTAATAAAATTTGTAAAACTAAGCTTCAACATTATTCAATATTCAATCGAACAATTTCCACGGTCCGCTTTATATGTTTGCAATTTGCGACTTATAACTTGCACCAACATCAATAAATTCAGGATCAAAGCCTAGTATATCTTTGGCAATTTCAAGAATCAAAATTGAACAAAGTTGGAGGTGGTTCAAAGCACATAGATGAAAACTTTATTATTATTATATAGTTTTAACTAAACAAAAAAAAAGTTCAATTTATACAAGTTTTTTTTCGTTTGAGTACAAGGAGAACTTATGTAAGACACGAACGATCCCCAGGCCCCTCACACTCTCCCAAGTAAATAGCAGATGTGGGGGTCCCGCCTTTCATTCTCACACTCCAGGTTAATACTCCTATCCAAGTCATTAGGTGAGTTGCCAAACAAATCCAATGTCTCTCTGGCATAAAGCAGAATCCCGAATTATTCTTTGGTACTGTTGGTCACAAATCTATGAGTACTTTATCGCTCAAATACTCTTTCAGGCTGATTAGCACTTAGATATCTTATAGATTTTCCAACGTTGCACATACATACTTTTATTTCACTTGTTTTTTATAGCACCTATATACCCTATCCTTATAATTGACATTCTAAGAGTCTATTATGCAAAAACAAGGATATTCACGCCAACATTATCATATATTCCAATATTTTAAAACCATTTTTACTCTTAATATACTATGGCATAGTCAACTATAGACAACAAACTGATCATTATGGCCTAAGTAGGTTTGATGACTTCTTTTGTCACACATAAGAGCCCACGCATTTGCCAGCCTCCCAAACTCTTCTATATCATATTACTTAATGCTGCTATAAATCATTTTATTTTTATCTATTATAATCTCATGAGATCATGCTTTTGTTATGTTTGAAATTAAACATGTGACAACTGATAATGTTGATGACAAACTTTATCACCCATAATCTTCAATATCACCTCAAGTTGGCTAGGCATTAATATTAATTCATAGTCATCAAGGTTACTACCAGAGAGACGCCTTTTAAGCAGCTGAAGAATGGGGGGAAAAGATTCTGCACATAGTTCATGTACCAACAACGAAACATGATGCCTGATCTTGGTAAGTGTGTGCTACTCAACAAAGAATTTCACAACTAGAAATTCTGATGTCTAAATGATTTAATTGCGGCAATAAATAATAACAAGAAGTTGTGTATGGTAAAGTCTTACCAGAATTTTGCATTATCGATTTCCTTTCATCATCTTGAACCTGGAAACTGGCTTTGTGGGCTGCAAAATGGGATAGTGTCCATCAACTTAAGCCATAAAAGGGAGCTGGTCTGACTACTAAGCAGCAACACCTGAAGATTTTTACCAGTCTGGTAACCCTATCAATTGCAACTCAAATCCTTAGTTATTAATTACCTGGTCCATACTCGTGTTAGCTGGCTGTTTAGACGGGAGACTATGAGTATGCTCAATGACGGAGCCTGTAAATGCCTGGACATGACAATAGGCTTATATGAGATGAGATTCAAAGAATTGAGAGAGAGTGTGTGCGTGTGTGTGTAAAGAGGCATGCAGATCGATAAGATGCACACCTTATGATCACTGAAACCCGTTCTTGCAGTTTCTTTTTCAATAATGTTAGAAGACCCCTACATGAAAATTCATAACAGTCAATAAGCGGAGAGGAACTGTTATATTGAACTAACAATATGAAACAAGACCAAAAGACAAGCTCTTAGTTTCTTGCTGTTCAAGTAAATTTTCCAATGCTGCATCTTTTCTATCAATCACTATTCTTACTCAGTTACCCGTCTTTGTTATATTGACAACTGAATAATTGCAAAATTGGAAGTTACTGTTTGCAGTTTGACTGCAGCAATTTTGGAACAGAAATGAAAATGCCATGTATTTTAATGAGGTATTCTGAAAATTGAGAAATTTCAACTCCAACTACACAGTTATAGTATCAAGGTTTAAGTTAGACTTTACATGCCACAACCATCCTAACACTTAAATGTGAAGTAATACGTTTTAATTTCAGAAGAAACAATAAATTGCACATCTTATGATTTAGCTGAAACAAAAATCTCCATTTAAGAATTACAAAAAAAATAACATTACATAGTAAATAACTAGGCAAAAGCACTTAAATATTGTAAGATATATCATTGAAAAAGGCCAACAGTAAATAAAAGTTTCTCCTGTCTCGCGGAAAAAAAAAAGGAAAGAAAGAAAAAACCCAGAGTCGCTTACATAAGGGCGGTCAGGAAGATGTTGATGAGAGCCGCTGCCAATGGATTTTGCAGTAGATGGGAGCACCTCCAGACCTCTTGACTTTTGTACTGCTTCAGTTGGCTTAAGATTCTACAACATTTGACAAACAACGTCTACTTAGTCATGATGCAGGAACAATCTCGTAAACTAAACACCTCAGAACTCATCCATTTCTAATTTATATGAGTCCTACCTCCGAAATTTTGCCCGTGGCATCACTAGCGCTAGCTTCAGAATTTTCATCTTCATCATTGCCGGAAACACTTTCAGTTTCAAGTCCAGATTCAGAATCCTCGTCGCTGCCAGCTTCAAGTTCTTCCTTTTCAAGCCCATCCAGCATTGCCATTATCCGATGATGTTCATCCTCTTCATCAGGGAATGTAGAGGTGGTCATAGAATTTGAGCCTGGTGGACCTGAATTTCCA